TCAGTTTCATCACAATACTTTCAAAACAGGTTGCCCAACTATTACAATTTACAACTGTCATTTCAATAAAGTCTGGTCCCTAAAACTGAATTTCTGAATTTATAATTGAATGTAGTAAATTTTACATCAAATTTGGTATAAATGACACACCCAAATTGAAAGTTGCGGTGGCCTGTTTATAACCTTGCACAAAAATAATCATTTCCACAACACCAAAATATTTATTAAGGGGGTGTTGGGTTATGCCTTTTGCCAAATTCTGGTTAATTAAAGAATTAATTCATAAAATGACCAAAAAATACATTCTCATGCATTTCAATCAATTATAATAAGATCATTTGCATATCACTTATCACTGAATATTTTTAAAAGATTGTCCTTTATATTATTTTTCTTCTTATTATATCAATAAATTGCTTTTTTTTATATATAAAAAGAAAACAAATCTTTGGTTTAGGTTTAGTATGAGAACATAATAATAATAATAATAATAATAATAATTTTTATTTTGGATAATTAGTTTTCTTGCTACTTACCACTCATCTGCAAATGCTCTTAGTGTTGTCATATATGCGTCAACACGCTGTCACATAAACCATTGGACAAAACATCAGACTGTATAATAAGGTTAATAAATAAGTTACTAATTGATATTTTGTAATTGTTTCATTAAACTACTAAAATAAGTATGATTCAAAATGCTCACAAGTACAAGAAAAATATACACATTATTTAATTAACATTTGGAAAATATGCAAAAAATTACCTTCCCTTCCAAAGCTTCAACGACTGCATTAGCCTTTACAGATAGAGGTCCCTCAAATTTCTTTGCCTATGATCATACATGACAAAAAAAGAATCTATTAATGTAATCAAAAATAAAATAACAACATTAAAAAAACACACACAATATAAAATATATCCAATACCAGAGCAATTCGATCCCCAGAGCTAAGTGAAACGGATTCTGTGTTGTCAAAATCTTGAACATCAACTCCATTTTTCAATTTATTAAGCAGATTCTGATGTGAGAGCCATAATCATGTCAGTCTTTATATTTCATTGTGGCTACAAATATAACAAAAATTAAGATGCAACGATTTATATATATATATATATATATATATATTACCAAATTTAATAAGAGCATATCGACCATAGGGGCAGCTGTAGTTCTTAGTAAATGTTTGTGCAAAAGAACTGAAGTTGATGGGTTGTCTTCAAACAAATCTAGACCTTTCTCATATAATTGCATATTCAATGAAGACTGCAATTTAAAAAGTTTCAGAGGCAATAAAAACATAAAAACGAATTTACCATTCTATGAAAATGTTAAATGTAAGTTACCTCATCTAGTTTCTTTTGCAAATTATCAAGGACACGTTTGATTTTCTGTGCATTATCTGTTAAAGAAGCTTTTTTTCTCTCATTCCATGCATTCATCAGCATGGGTCGTAAATGATTAGCTAAGGGCACAACAACTGTCTCTGGATCAACACCTAAAATGATAAAAAAAAAATAATATATATAAATAAATAAATAAGTAAATAAGGAAGTTAAATAAGAAACAAGAACTCACCTTGATCTTCAAAGTCAGGTACAAGTCCATTTATCTTTTGGCATAGTTCTTCTTCTGAAAAGATACCAAGGGTATCCTCGTCTTTTTTGGCACTTGATTTTTGGTCTGACCCATGTGATGAAGATGCAGCTTTTCCTTTTCTGTGGTTCTTCTTTGATTTAGGAGGAATAGGTTCTTGATCATTATCTTGATTATAATCAGCTGTTTTGGTATTTGTGTTGGATTTTCCTTTTTTCTTCTTTGATCCTTTATCTGATGTTTGTTTGTAGGACCCACTTTCACTAATCGTGTCATTGACTTCAGATGGAGTGCCATTTGTTTCATCAGTAAGCCCAGATAAACTAATGGTATCCAGATCCTTCTCCATTCGTTCATAAAGATCCTAAAAAAACAATTCACAAAGTGTTTTTAAGTTTTAACTCACAATGCTGTAGTAGAAAGAAATGAAAGTAGGGTGCTACAATACCTTGAAAAATGTGGTGCTGAAAACATAAGAGTCTCCCAAAATGAGTGCTTTATTAGCCTGAAAAATAAACACAATGCTAATGGTTAATAAAAGCTTAAGAATTGCATCAAGATTGTGAACAAAAATTGGAGCTTTTATAGGAGAAAGAGAAATACCTTAAGTGCCGACTGTATGGATGGACAAAGAGACAGCATCTTATGCGCATCCTGGGAAACAAAGGATGCTGGTAAAACTGAAAGGGAATCAATCCTGCAGTCAACAGAAAAGATCCTTGGTCAAAATATTTTGATTATTTAATTATTACTAGAACATGATATTAGTTTAACCTTTGAGAATTATGAAGAGAGACATTAGAAGGAAAAGAGAATTATTACCAGCTGCCACGTTCAATGGCATCCTCCACAGCAGCATCCAGCATCTCAACAGTTGAAGGGTGAACAAATAAAGTAATCAAGGGTATACCTTCAGGATACCTGGACTACATTACATGCATGATCACACCATTGATTAGATAAATATTACAAAAAGCTTTGGTTTAGTTATATAAAACTAAATTCATATATAGTTATACTTAATTATACCCCTCGAAATTAAAAAAAAAAAAGAGACTTGTAATACCTGAAGAAACTGAATTGGTTGTGTAATTCCAAGTTTATGCAGAGCATCGTAGCTGACAACAGAGTTCTGTAACACAAAGTACCACTTAGTTGAAAATATATCACTGAAAAGAAGCGATGTAATTGCCTAATTAGGTTAGCTATGACTTTATACCTGTGAAAAGAAAGAATCCACGCATTCCCTTTGAGCAATGGCAAACACCTGAATGGTGTAATTACCTAATTAGGTTACCAGATGATGACTCATGACTCAAACCAATGAAGGAAAAAGATATGGTTACTTACACTTGGTGTCCAATGAACTCCAGCACGAACTGATCCAAGAACTTGACCTTCCTTCACCAATCCATTAAACATTGATTGGAAGAATGAAGCTTCAACAGCCACACCACTCGCAGCATCCATTTCTTGTAGTAATAGCTGCAATGAGCCCCACAATACTGACAGGTTCATAGGGACAGTGATGCCTCTAGCAGCCCCTCGAACCATTGCATTCACACGTGCAACATATGCTGGTGTGTACAGCTGTCCACCTTCAAGTCTGCCTTTTATCTACATGCCATACATCATAATCCTATCAAATTTGATATCATAAACATAGATTTGTTTATAAAGCTGACCTTTTCTTCATCTTCTATTGTTTCATAAGCAAATTCTATTACCATAAGGGACTTAAGCAGTAGTACAATAGCAGCCTACAAAATTGTAAGGAAACTTCAAATGAAACTGAAATTTCCTGCTTTACCCGGGATCCAAGTCGAGGTTCCAACACTGTCACGAGTAACTCCGAACCAACTTGCAACTGAGCCGCAATCTCAGCAAGCGCAATCTGACTGCATTCTTGAAGCCGATCATTAATCTCTTCACAGACATTATTCCAGTACCAATCCGATATTATTTCACCATTAATCAACATCAACGATGAGTCGTTAGCTACAACAACTTGCGCTTGTTTCTCCACATGGTACAAATCAACACCGACAATATCAGCAAGATCAATCAGCGAGACACGCCCTAATTTCTTTATCTCCGACACAATCTCAAGCCGTAGATGCTCCTAAAACACATTAAGTCAAATGACAATAAGAAATTACAAGAAATGAATCAAAATTACACACAGGGCAGCGAGTATACGTACAGGAGTGATGTACTCCTTGCCGGATACAGTGTGTAGGAGATCGAAGTCGATGATATGGAGTTGCTGAAGCTTTTGTACTAATTCAACGACGTTACGTTCTGATAAACGAATGCTTGATTTCGCTTGTTGAGCGGATTCAAATTGTCGCTGTAGTTCGAGTAATTCTTCATCCATCTTTCCGATGACTGATCGCCGATCACTCCAAAGTGGTGAGGTTTTCGTGTTGCAAAGGGTTTATTAAGTAAGAGACAAAGATGCAGAGTCTCAAAGGTGGAATCTAAGCGAGACATAACAAAAAGACCGGTTTTAGACGAGTCCGTTAAAAGATTGGGAACCGGTCTTCGATAGAACGGATCGAAAAATGATCATTTCGAGATGGATCTAAAAAGACGAGAACCGATTCAAAACTGGCTCAATACGGGTTTCATAAAAGACCCAAAGCTAAAAGTTTAACATACATATAATTCTTATATTAATCATACATTATTAAAAAAAAAGTATATTAATTTTAGTCACATATTTGTTAACTAAAAATATGAAACAAAAACCAAAAAAAAAAAAACCTAAAACTGAACTGAAAATGATGCATGCGACGACCTCAAAGTCGGACAAAAAAAAAGACGACGTGATACCTGTTCGAAACAATATCAAATCGTTCCGAGACTAACCATACTAACGTGCAAGTCTAATCTAAGCAAAGAATCATCACTTACGAAAGTAAATTTGAGCAAATGAGGTGATATAATATGATTTATTGTTTTATTTTGTAATAAGAAAATTAAATTTGCAAAAGGATTGAAATTCTTAAGGTGCGTTTCACATATATTATGTGTTTGGTTGACATTATGCAATTTGTTTTGGTTTGCAGATTTATTAAGAAATTGCATATTTATTATTTTTTTGTAACTTATTATTATTTTTAATAAAAATGACAAATATTTAATAAACCATTCCATTTATTAAACTCTTACCCACTCAAACATATGTTTTTTTTAATGAATATGCACATAATATATAAAGCAAAGTAGTGTAAGCAAAGTAGATTTATTATCTTTTTCCTTCATTGGGTTGCAGGTGGAGGATAACAAGGTTGAGTGTGGGGTGTGGAGGTGGAGGATAACAAGGTTGAGTGTGGGGTGTGGTGGGGTTTGACGACAACGTCAGCTTGTGGTTATGTGTGGATGTGGCGTATGTGGGCGTGGGGTATGGATGAATGTAGGAGTATGTGAGACAATATTGGTAGGTGGATGTGAGATGGGTTTGATGTGAGGGCAGTGTGGGCGCGAAGTAGTGTAATCGTAGGCGTGAAGGTGTGAGTGTGGGTATGGGTGTAAGGGTGAGGGTGGGTATGTGTGTGGATAGGTGATGGTAGGGTTAGGTGGGTGGATGGTGGAGGTGTGGGAAAGATGATCATAATTTGTTTTCATTTTGATGAATTATGTTTAAAATTAAAATGAGACGGGTCCTTTTTGTCCTTTTAATAATATATATGGAAATGATCTAAAATCATTGAAATTAGTCAAAGAATGATTAATTCCTTTTTGCAAAATTTAATAGAATTTTAAAAATTCCAATTACTTTGAGTTGTCAACCAAACACAAATTTTATTAAAAGATTTCTTCTAAATCCTCCAAATTTATTCGAAATTCATCAACTAAAGACACTTAAAGATTAATTTGTCATATTAATCATAATTGCCAATTAGTATCATGTTACCTGTAATCAAGTGTTAGGGTTTATTTTTTATGAAATAACTTAGAGGTATATATTGTTCGTTCCGGTCTATCAAGTATCAATGTATAGTTGTAAAGAGGTAGTCTAGATTTTTTGGTCTTTGAACTCGAAACCAATAAAGAAAAACATGTATATATTATCTGTCCAACCCATGCGGATTAGTAACGTGTATTTTTAATTTATTTATATTCATTAAGTTACACAAAAACATAAAAATGTAATCCATCCAAATGCTTGATAATTCCTATACCACCAACTATGGTCCTTGTTGAATTATTTGTGTTTTGAATACATTTTAATCAACCCAATATATTTTTCTTAACAAGGGGGTCCAGGATAACAGGGCACAATATTATAGATTCATCCCTTTATATTGTCATCCGGATACATAAAAATGTACATGATACATGACGGATGTACATTGGTTCAGCCATTATACTTTAAGGTCATTGTCATCCGGTCATTATATAAAGGTTTAGAAAATCCCATAAATGGTCATGCCTTATTTGGTTTTTGGTACTACTTTAATGACCTTATATTGGTTACTAGTTTTAGTTTTGTGTTAGTCTAAGCAAAACTATATTATTTCCAATTAGAAAGTCTTGGCACAAACACACAGTGTATATTCGGCATTGATTGTTTTTCTAATGCACTATTTGCTTGAATGATATTCAACAATTTAAAATAACATTTTTAAGATGGATAACTAGGTAAATTCAAAACATAAATAGTTTATGAAAAACATAATGTATTGTTGATGGAAGACTCATTTTAGGGATGACAAAAAAGCCCGAACCCGATGGGGAAACCCGAAACCCGATCATTTCGGGTCGGGTAACGGGTCGTTATCGGGTTTTTT